TGCAACTGCAGATCACTTTTAAGCGAAGCAAGGCTTCAAGAGCTGGAAGAAATTTAAAAAAAAATCGGTTTGGACATTGTAGGATTCTGCAAAGTTAGTTGAAAGGGGAAGCGACTGTTCGAATTTAGAACCCTGTACACATCTCCTTCTTCAGAACATCGGCAAATAGCAGTACTAGAAGAGTCGGTTCATTATCCCCTGAAAATCAAAGAACGTATGTTACAGGTAGTACAGTATAGTGTTTCGTTCTTGCGTTGATGGTCATACTGAAAGTGGCGAAAAACACGGTTTCTTATACGCCACGAAAAAACCAGTGGTCAGTCCGGTCACTGACCAACACCGACGTTTTGGCCTTTTCCAAAGTAGATGGGACAAAGATGCGACAAGAAACTAAGACTGCAACAGACCTGAAATCAACAAGAGCGGATGCGTAGAATTTCATAAATCCTTGAGGAAAAGAATAAAAGAAGACATCTGAACATTCATTTGCAGATTGGCAAGTGAAACTATTGAAAGCAACCGAAGCAAGAAGTTAAATCAAAGAATGACGGGTGCAAATGTCTTGCACTCAAATCAGGAGACGGGATAGTCATCACGGAGATTAAAGAAGTTTTAAGAAACGTACAAGATTCCTACATATGAAATTGAACAAAGATGAAAACGTCAACACCTTTGGTGATGGACAGACAAAGAACCTGAAGATAAAAGTGAGGTTTATGCAATTCCAGATGTGCTGCAACATCAGAAAAAAACGGAAAGAGAAGCGATGCCAAATTCCACCGCTTGAAAAATGATTTATTTCGCCTCAAATTAAAATTCTATTCATTCCTTATCATTAAATGATAACAAGCTCTGAGATGATACAAGCCAGTGGTACCAAAATTCACAGCCGTAAACGAAAGGAACACAAACCATAAACATTCCATATCACGGTTGTCACATTCAATGCGTAAGAACAAGAAACACCGCGAAACCAACAATGCAATAAAATAATCCGAAAATCCAACTCGTTATCAGTTAAAATTTGCCGTGCCGTTCACCTCAGTTTGGCTTTTACTCAGCATCTATAACAATCATTTTAAAAATAAAAAAACTAAAATATACAAAACCATGAAAAATACGATTATAAATGAAACAATAATTGAAAGAAATACTGTGCGCAAAACAACGGCTATATCCCTTATTCGGTCAAGCAACCGTGGCTATCATCGGGAGAAAAAGGTAAAACATTGTCAAGTTAGAGACGTAAAGCAACAACCTTCTTTTCTGGCATTTATCATTGAATGTTAGCAGTTTGCATGATTCTTATATAATCAAATAAATTAACAACCGTCATAGTACTTTCACATTTCTTTTGATCTTAGGCTGTCGTAAATATCTTGATTTCTTCGGGCTAACTTACAAGAAAAAATGCTGTTAGAAAAGATGCTTTGTGTAGTCCCTGTAAACTTATAATCCAACAGAGCTTAGACTGTGATATAGAGTAGGTTTTTCAGAGTGCTGTGTGTGTTCATGTACATATGAATCAGGTACACAATGTCGATTCTCAGTCTTACGTTTCCAACGCACAGTAGATCGAATACTTCGTTTAAACAGAAACAAAAGCTTACGGAATAAGTAAGGTCGTAATAGCAGGAACACACCTCGTCGCATTCCTGATGTGGACAATACTTTTGACATCCTTTCGTCATGAAGCGTATCGTATGACGCTTATAACCGTGTTCTGGACACAGAACGAGAATGCAGCACGGGAGAGGACTGCATATTGATAAGAAGATACTACAGCGATAGTCTTCTGCTTCCTTTTCAACAAGTGACACTAATTCGTGGCCTCAGAATTCGTGATAAAAAAGAGTGCTCTAAGCAACGCGAGTATCCTCAATTGTTCGACTATCCGTTGTGAGGAAGTAGCCCGACCAATCAACGGGTTGCTGAGATGATTGAACATGGACATAATCACGGATTTAAGCTATAGTAGTTCATTTACCTTTCATCCGTCTGAGGCAGATAAATACATGACGATGGAAAAGAAAACAAGAGACTATAGACTATACTTGCAACACAGATGTAAACATTTCCAATAAAACAAGACCATCGTGATTTATGGTCCAGAAACCCAGATTCGGTTAACACCATACGCTTCATGAAAACAGGGTACCTCGCCTCCGTGCCACCGCCACCGCAGAAAAAGTGAAAGAAAGACAAGCATCACGGATCGCTTTCAGAATTCATTGCCGCATATATTAAACCGTTTACCTTCCAGAGCAGGTTCTGTGAAACGTACGAACGTAGTTCTTGACGCGAATGCCACTTACAGCGTAAATACCCATAAAGGTTAGAACCGGTCATGGCTGTGGCGAAAAGTACGACCACCTAAAGAAATGTAGTTAAGTCGAAAAATGAAACGAAAATAAAAATAAAAAGCGAGCAAAACTCATACCAGCCAAGTCCATTTTAGGGTCAGGAAAGCGACGAGAGAGAATATGGTCCAAAGCATTGGGAAAAAAATCAAGACGAACCAAAATATTTGAGTTTCAACGACATTTTGTTCTGTCTTCGTCTAAATATTAACAACCGGCTGTCAGGCAAACAATCTGAGGGAAGTGCAAGCTGTTGTTGGCTGCAAATGATGGCAATAATTTTATAACAATTGATCGATAAAGAATAAAATACATCTCTGATAGAACAAAACACTAAATTATTGTCGTTATACCTCGTTTGCCATGCTCTTCAAAAGAGAGCGCTAATCAATTCAGCGTAATGCCTGATAAGCTTCGCATAGTGTACTTATGGGCAGGTTCTTAAAATCGCAACTTATCACCTACTTTCTAGACATCAGTGTAACAATCTTTTTCTACCTTTTCCACCACCCTGCCTCATGAGTTTGTTGCACATCATGCACATTGTTAGCATCAACTTCCAATATCCCCAGTTCACTGAAATGATCGACGATGTCAGTAGCAACCGCAGTTCCATTTTTTATCAGCGGTATAATATACATAACAGTATAGAAAAACGTACATGATTTCTCTATGCGGGAGAAGATATAATCTTTTGGTAAGTCACAAACGGGAAGATAATGCATAAAATGTTCTTAAAAATATGGACATCTGACATTTCGGACCAAGCTTCAGAGTACAAGCTAAGACGGAAAGATTATATAACAATATAATAACATATCACAATGGACAAACCTAAGGTCATATTTTTACACACTTCATGAATTGGAAAAACTTCCTTGAAGTTCCGCTCAAATTCTAGATAATGTTCGTATTGCTAAAACACTTCCAGCAATCTGTAAATGACTGCTGAGTTTTTACCATCAATTATCCCCTAGAAAAAGTGACTTAGAAAAGTTTTTGGCCGTCGGAAAACCGCCGTTTCCACAAGTATTACATTCGGTAGGAGCAGAAGTTCTCTGGATGATCACGGTCATTGTCAAGCACCAGCAACGATCCGATCTTGAAGTTACTAGGACCACAATAACGTTATACTTCTGGAGAAAACTGAGGTCAATAATTCTGGAAAATCGTTTTTCATCCATGTTTTTGGGTTTGGCCTTTAGATAACAAACAAGTCTTTAGTATATCACCTCATTGCCGAAAGCGTCTTACCATAAACAAGAGCTTCAACTTTAAAGCTTTAAAGCACAACCGTGATTTGGTCTTTGGTATTTTCAACCCTAGAGTTTCTCTTCACAGGATACGAATAAGTGTGACAGCATTCTTTTCCAGTTGATCCGTTTCAATTACATAGGAAACAACCTCAAGGGAAGAGATCCTCAATGACTGTTATAAAGGTAAAAAAAATTCGCACGCTATTTGTAATCAACAATAGCTGAATCGTCGTATATTTTTACGTTGTGCAGGCAACCGAGATATTTAAATCAATCAAACCATTGAAGACTTGCTGAAAATGTTTCCGTTATTGATCCTTCTTCCTGTTCTTTAGGATAAACAACGTGCTTTTCATCCTTCCCCTGATGATTTGCTAATTTGTTTAGAGGCATATGAAGCAAACATGATTTTTCAGTTATGATATGATATGATTAAAAGTCGGTCCATCTTTTCCAAAAAGTTACATCTAGTGCTGTGATTAGTTCAAGTCGGTTAAAATGCAACAGTAGCGGAATTACCAGATATATTGACCCTGTCTGTATTTTTTATGATCGTTCTTATGCTTGATGACGATACATCTAGTGCATGGCCCATGATTCGAGTCGCTTGAAGACTTCGTGTGCATTTCGTTGTCATTTCAGACTTTATTTCCTTGTCATTTTTTGCCTTCGTACGTTGGTGGCTATACCGAAAAACAGTGTAAAAAACGGTCTAATAATATACAACAAAAAAGATAGTATGGTCAGTCCGATGACAGACCAATATTAACGTTTTGGCCAGCATCTCTTTCAACATAAGTGGTGGCGTAGTCTGCGAATTAGTTAGACCTCTGGCTCCGAAACCATCAACTGTGCGGCAGACCAACCAAATTCACGAAATTATAACACCCATGAGGAAGGAGCGTGAGACTCGAGCCGAAACGTCGGCATTGGTCAGTCACCGAACTGACCACACCACCTTTCGCACTGTGCATTATTAAAGTGTGTTTTCCATTGTTCTACGGTCATCTGTGCAGGGCTTTGGTACCAGTATCAGTTGTATACATTTTTACCATCCGTTATGGGTAAAAGACCTTTTTCAAAACATAAAATGAGAATGAGTCGTGCTAAGATCTCTGATGACGCAAAGAGCGAATAATGCCATGAACAAGATCAAGGCCTGAAAATGCTCACGATTAGGATGAGCTTCTTAGAGTGCCTGAAAGATCGAACGATATCACAAAAAGCAGGAACAAGAACTGATGATGAAGTCGGTGACCAGACAAAAAACATTCGAATGGTAACGCCTGTAGCCTCCAATCCACTTAAGTAGAGACAAATTACAGTCATGCCTCGATTAACGCTACGTGTAAAACATTGATTCTTTGTAAAGTCTTTTGCTCATGACCAAGTTTTACTTTCTACACATGTTTTTGTGGGTATTCTAGCTCAAGAATGGACGGGAGGACGGAATTGAAAGTTTGCAACCGCTCGAATACCGGTTTTCGTTACCCTCTGACGATGGGGCAGTTTTTTCCATTAAGTTAATCGTGGAGCGATGATCCCTATTTACATGAATCAGCCAAGAGTGCCTTGTTTTAAAGGCAGAGTGGACAGCAGCGAGGAGACAAGCATGTTGCGTAGTCTCTGACTTCCTTCCCACAGAGTGGTACATTTTGATCGTCCTCAAAAGGAAAGAAGGCGAATGACCTGACCGGAGCTCTAACCCAGTAACTCCCGCTTCGCCATGCCAACTAAACAACCCCAGCTTAATTAAAGAACGTTTCATTGGATAATGACCAAACATAACGCCCAACACTTTCACAGTAGCAAATCACAATGAAAATAAAACCTGGGAAAAGAACCAGTGAGAAAGTGTGCAAACGGAAGTCTCGGGCACACAGCCATTACAAAGAAACTGAAATGGCAACAGGAACTCTTTGTAATCAGTCATCAGAGATAGAGATACATGTCAATCACGAAAATGTACAAAGGATTTACACATACCTATCAGTCGGCGACCCGGGAGAGACAATCATGCCCAAAACTACGGAATACCTTGACAGTTTTAGAAGGGATATGTTCCACTCAGCATGAACATGACGTGTACTACTGAGATCATATAACAGAGAGTTGTCGTCTTCCTGTCACGAATGGACAAAGTCGACTTAAAAACAAATAATCAATGAGATCACATAATTATTTATTTACGGGAGACTTATAAATTAAATCTATAAGAAACGATCGACGGGATAGGGGGAACCGTCCACATCATTTAGTTAATAACATAAATGATGTTTTTATTGCGTTGCGGTCAGCGTATGATGCCTATAAATCGAATGACAAAAAGTATTCGCAATCGCAATTAACTGCAGAATAAACTTGATGCTTCGTTAAGCAAGGAAAGGTCAGGTGTCAAAACTGGTCAGGAAAATATAATCGGTAGAGCAACTACTTAATTTAAAGAAGAAACAACTGTCCTTACGTTTTTGGACTCGAATTGCCAATGGCTGCTTCCATCTTCATCCACGTAATTCCTCCAACGTAAGCCAACCAGAAGACGACCGGTGACGTTTTTTACGGTCCAGAAATCCAGCGCGGAAAATATTATCTATAATAACAGTGGGTTCTATAGTATCAAAATCCGCTGTGAATTATATTGCAGAAAATAATATATAACAAGGTGCACGAAGCCAGCATGGTATACATAAAATCGAATACAGTACCAGCAGCTATCTATCAAATGAGTGCAGTAATGTGGGAGACAAATGAGTTGGGGTAATGAAGACAGAATTCAGCAATAGTCCAAAAGGACCGGTTTTCCCAGTCTTTTCCCAGTCCTATGTTTAATGCAAGATATATAACGAAAGAATGTAATCCCTGGCACAAGCGGTAAATGAGGTTTCTTTCAAGGAGTGAAAGTG